TATAAATAATTGTAATTTGAGTTTAAAAGTTTATAATTTACACCTGATGACGGTTTGATAAACCGAAACATGTTGTGAATGTTCCGATGTAAATCGAATGCTCGATATGGAACATAAGATGATATTTTAATCATTTTAATTATATTATCTTACTATTTTATTGTGATTTGACGGTAAACAAATATATATAATTATTTTAACAAAACCCACACAAATTTCATGCTATTTAAACGTCGTGCTTTTGAATTAGAGTGAGCTTTTGCTTCCAGATCGATCGAAGACAGCAAGGATACTAACATAAAGCGAGGCGAAAGCTCCTGATACCTCTTGCTAACATTTTATAGTTTAGGAATTAACACTTCACATGTTTTCTGAGTGACACGGTTAATTGCAGCCGAGACGAAAATCCGGCTACATCAACGATGGCAAATACTGGGGTCGAGGAACTCTCAGAGCTGAAGAAGAATATCAATGACGTCTTCATCTTGACGAACGGAATCATCGTCTGCTGTGAGTACAGCGATCTCAGTATCTTCCGTCACCAACTATGATTTAAGTGCAAGCAGGAACTAGAAAATGTTTATGAAATTCTTGAGTTCATTCTGGCCAAATCTAGATGAACAACTACTACCTTTATTCTATTCCTGAGAGTCTTAAATAACTTCTGATGAGCTCATTTTAATTTTGTTTTGAGTTCCGTATACTTTTTGGTGTTTGCATTTCTAACGTTTCTATCATTTCGAAAGACAAACCAGGCGCCTTACCAAGCTGCGATGAACGCGACTTCTCCTTAAGCCACGCCTTACTTTCGCTCATAATGAATTATCATTACCTTCATCATCTGTATTATTGAATTCACAGTGATGCAGTGCGGGTTTGCATGCCTAGAGGCTGGAGCAGTACGTTCAAAAAACACGACCAACATCATTATGAAGAACTTCATGGACATGTGTGAGTATTAACTTTCCAAAGCCAGTGGTAATTATATGTACCACCTGTTTCAGCATTCATTAACTGTACATTTTGCCAAGAGTGTCTAATTTATTGGCTTAGTATGATTTTCCCTGTAAACCGAGATTATTTCCTTAAACAACGTTAACCAGTTCATATCTGTAATGAAGTGTGGTGTTTTCTTTGCGGTGCGGACTAAATTCTTAAATATTATTTAAACTATGTAAGACTTGAGGTTCTCACAGCGGTGAGTATGAAGATTTCCGTCTTCTGGGTTGTTGAACTAGTTTCAAGGTTTTTGTAATTGTGCGCAAACCCGGGCCTCCGTGGCGAAAAACCGGCGACGAACTGCCTAAACTATATCGCGGTCAAATCTAAGGATTACAAAATCGAGTTCTTGATTTTTCAGTCATCAGTGCCCTGTGCTACTGGCTGGTAGGATACGCCCTGGCACATGGAGAAGGCAACCCGTTCGTGGGACACACGTACTGGGCCGGCGTTGGAATCCAGGGGCATCAGATGGCTCATTGGTTCTTCCAATTCGTGTTTGCCGCATCGTCTCCGGGGCAGTTGCCGAGAGGTGCCACTTTGTTGCCTACGTCACCTACAGTGCAGTTATATCAGGTTATCGTACGGTCCATTTGCCATCGATTTACATGTTCTTGTACTTCGGGTGTACAAAATGAAGACTTTTCGTGTCTCATTTCCGAAAACACGTCACACTTATAGTTTAACGAAAAACAAAATTGTATTTTCAATGTTCCAGAAAAAATTGCATCAAATTTTGTTCTAACTCAGCTTCAAAGAAAATTTTGCGTAGTACGTAACCCGGCGACGTTTTTGTTTTGTTGCACTAAAACACACTAGCTCACTGCTGACAGCGTACTTTTAAGAGTCTGTAATAATACATCTATGAATAAAAACACTATTTGCACAATCCTTGTACTGAATTCCAACAAACATGAATACATTATGTTCAAAATTTCAATAACAAAACGTCTGTCAGTCTATCCCGAGGGAAGAACATGGCGTAGGTTGCCAGCGACAACCACCAGACATGTCAGTAACAAAATCAAATGCTGATACAGACCGATAATAAACGCATGCATACGTAAAACACCCAGAGGAAAGTCACGTCTTTTCACGCCAATGACAGAAGCTCACGAATTCAGATGTGAAATGAGTGCATGAGGAAAATCATTTCGACACAGCTCTGTGCTTGTCCAGGCTTAGTGTACCCTGTGGTAAGCCGCTGGGTGTGGGCAGAAGAAGGATGGCTGAACCAAATGGGATACAGAGATTTCTCAGGCTGTGGACCTATCCACCTTCTCGGTGGAACGTGTTCTCTGTTTGGAGCCGCTTTCCTGGGCCCTCGACTGGGACGTTTTAGCAGCAAGGCGGAGGATTCTCAAGAGATACCAGGACATTCCGTGCCGGTAAGTGTTTGCAAGTATATAGTTGCAATACACTGGCCCAACACTAACTCTTTGTGTATTTACGGCTTCATATGACTCTTAATGCAAACAACGATTATTTCCTTGAACAGAAATAACCAATTGATCGTAATGGAGACAGTTGTGTATTCTTTTAAGATACGGATTAAATTAATATTATTTAAATCAGCTTCGGCTTCAGGGTAACTTTCCAAATTACAGCTTCGATATTCACCAACGAGCAAATAAAAATTCTGCCGTCTCTGTTAGCAACCTATCTAACTTTATCCATACCAGGACGAGTGGTCATTGCCTGGGAACCTTCTAATTCTAACCTGCTCTTTATCCCCTGCCAAATTTTCTGTTTGCTTCTACTCTCTTGATTTCCCACCAAACTTCCTCTCTCTCTCTCGGGTTTTAGTCACAGGAATGTCTAAGATAACTGAACTCGTTCACACCCTTACGCGTTCTGAGAGTATTTTCTCATTTGCTGTGCAGCTGACTGGTCTGGGGGGCATGATCCTGGTAGCAGGGTTCCTGGCGTTTAACGGTGGCACGCTGGGGTCAATGACGAGACCCGGAGAGAGTGAGCTGATCGCCCGGGTGATCATCAACACGGTGATGGGTGGCACAGGAGGAAGCATAACGGTCATGTTGGCGAGCAAATTGGGTCTGAACGGGGTCCCCAGCTGGAGCTTCTTGAGTACGTTAAACGGGGCCTTCATCGGCATGGTAAGCAATGTTAAGAGTTCGTCTGAATACTGACAGAAACAGATCATCACATTATGAAGCCAATGAGAATGTATGGGCATGAGAGTGGCGAAATGAAGATACTGGAGAAACTTACACGAAGTTCATAATTTTTGCTCTATTTATTATTAAGTGTTCTGTCTGACGACAGGTCCATATGAACAGGATCCTTCCATCCTTTTCTCGGACTGGGACCTGTTCATATGCGTTCTTGGCAGATGATCCAGAAGTGGTTTGCCATTGCCTTCTTCTGTGTGTGAATGGAGTAATTGTTGGGATGCCACGGAGGAAAACTCCGTGTTGCCTAGACCACGGCCTTGCCCAACACAAGTTATAAATTCGGGCACCGCCGGGAATCGAACCCGAGACCCCAGGATTACAAGGCCAGCGTTCTAACCGCTAGACCACCGTGGCTCCTAATGATCAAATCAAGGAGTGTGAAATGACTGGGGTGTACATGGAGATGAGAAATTCGTAGGAAAAAGTGAAAAGCCACTTGGAAGACTTGGCGTAGATGTGAGGATAATACTAAAATAAATCTTATGAAAACAGGGTGGGAGAGGCAAAAAAAAAAAAGCATCATGGTTGAGCCATTCTGTTTCCTGCTTTGCATAACAAGTGTATTCTGTGAAATATTTAAAACAACTGATCTCACATTAACAGGACAAAAGAAGTTTCAATCCATAATTAAAATTGTGGTATATTTATACATCTATGAAAACAAGCTCAAAACTTGCCCCCAATAAGAATGTTATGGTGTCCACCTGTTGGCTAAATGTATAACTTATCACTTTGTTGCGATGAGCTATACAGTCCAACGGCCCGTACCTCCGACGTTCCAGGTGTCAGTGTGCGCGGGTGTCAACGAGATGAACATGTGGGAGTGTTTTGTGTCTGGGATGATTGCTGGTCCAATCTACATGATAATCCACTACGTTGTTCTGTGGTGTAAAAGTAAGTATGAAATGACGTTCATTACGTTTAGTACACGGTTTCTTGCTACAGTAATACAAAAATGTAAATTTGTCTCTGTATGGACACATGCGAAGACGAGTTTAAACTCCATGCATTCACTAAAACACAAGAATATGAAACAACAAGTAACATTTATGACCAATAAATGCAGCAAATGAAAACAAAATTCTTTTCATATGAAACTTGTAATATATTTGTAACATTACCATACAAATTTCCATTTCAAGTAACAATGATTCGCCAACTCATGTCACAGTCCACATGAATAAACAACAATTCAATAAAAAAAATGCAAATTTTTGAGAAATATAAGACCACACAATGAATTCTACAAGTCCACATGACGGCCACGTCTGTGCTGTCAGCATTTTGAAACGCGCTGTTCACACTAGCAATGGCAGTCATCAATGCAAGAACAGCACAAAGTAAGAGGTTCCTTTAGACTCCTAAGAATAAAGTGACATCTTTTATTATCAGAATCATTGTGTAGTGGTTATAAATCCAATTTCTATCATACTGGCGCTATTCTACAGTTGACGATCCGCTGGATACCGTAGCCATTCACTTCGGAGGAGGATTGTGGGGTCTCATCTCAGCGTCAATCTTTTCCAACAACGGACTCGTGTTTGGCATCACGAGAGAATCCTTGATGGTAAGAACATCCCAAGCTCTACAATAATAAAATATGCATGTATATTCTCAAAAAATTAGATAACATTTTAGCAAAAATCAACATAATTCTTTGTTTCTCATCGCTCCAACACCATCTTTTTTAATATAAATTCTATTGGCAAGACATTTTAAAATACTCACCCTGTATATGAGAGCTGTCCAATGCATAGTCACAGACAATATTTAGTTTCAATTAATTTCTACCAAAATTTAAATTGTTCTTCCAGCTGTTCGCTTATAGGATGGCTGGAGCATCCATCATCATCCTTTGGGCATCTGTTGCATCCTGTATTATGTTTGGAATTCTAAAATGTGCAGGCAAGCTGAGGGTCAGCGCTAAAGATGAACAACAAGGTAAGCCACGATTGCTTATATGTGAATTCAGAACGTCACACACTCTGTCTCAATGCTCGTCTCAACACATACACAGAAATGGAAATGAACAGCGAGATCTCGGGTCCTTACAGCAGTGAAAATGTCGATGGAGGTCTTCTTGTTTGTGATGCCATGTGGACGTAATAGTAATATTAACCGACATAAAGATTGCTACTGAATATGCTTTAAATGAAAAGAATAAAACAAAAAAGTACATTCAGTCACTAGATACAAGCTCTGGCCATCTTTTTCAAAAAATGTGTGACTTAATTTAATTTCTTTCAAGTATTGAATGATTAACAGTATTATAAAACAATCTGACATTTTTGTTTTACCACAGGTTTGGATATTTCTCTCCACAATGAGCCTGGATATCCTGTGAAGGGATGGCAGACAATGGTTGTATCAGTCAGAGGGAATGCCATGTAAATTCATCAGTGTTGTTATTTATAATTTCAGCGATAAGGTTACAAGCAAATAACACAATTTTCCAACAGCTTCTAATGTACATTAATTCACTGCAAAATGGAATAAAACAGAAAAATGCATATCATCATTTACTCCATTGCAGTTCTCTACCAATTATACAACACATCGTATTCACGTTACAATTATTTATAAGAACAGACATTACATTTTTAAGTGTTACAATTTTAAAATCATTACAAAAATACTTGGTACGTTGTATGAAACATCAGCCTTAAATTAATATCTTTAATACAGTTTATGTAAACTGTTGCATCATATTGCAAACAACATGGCAATAATAAGGCCACGACTCGGCTGCGATGGAACTGCCGAATAACTCAAGACTAGAACTGCCAAGCAATTTCCTGCAAGAGACTGTTCATGTATAAGAATCATCTACTGTGTGTGGTACCTGCACATCACAACACAGGGAAATGCCTTAGTTTCATACATACTAACAAAATAAAAATACCAAATTCATTCATTAAAAAAAAGACAACTTCATAAGCAAACGCCATAAATCCGGAGACAAAATAAATTTAAAATAGATCACCAGTACTGCTTTCCGAGTTTCTCGCAGGAAGCAAACAACATATTTTCCTGTATCTTAATGTATCTTGTTACAAACACAAATCAAATAATTCTGGAGTAAACAATACCAAAAATCAGGGCCCAATTTGAGGCGAGAAACAAAAAAAGCAGCCACAGGTTAAAAATGAGACAGTCTTGAATCACAGGTACTTTGTGTAGCCTCCACACAAGCTGCAGAATATCTTTATGAACTCAGAAATGTACGAATGTACTCACAAACTGATACAGACTAATATAAAACACAGACTTGCGGTTTATTACCAGAATTCAGATGGGCTTTAAATACTGAAATATAAACAGAAGACTGCTCTTAAACCACAGTGTATTTTATTCCCTTAAATGTTATAAAATGGAAGCTGTGGATCCTGTCTCAGATGCCTGTATCCACAGGAAGTGTGACGGTTCTTGGGCCATGACCCTTTTATAAACTCAATGACTCATGGAAAAACTGAAAAAAAAATCCATGGACTGAATCTTGACAACAGAAGGTTAACTACTGACAAAGCGACAAACTAACTGCAGATTAGTCATAGTTCTGCTAACGAAAATCATCCATGACAGAATTAATTTCCAAAAAGTTTGTGCAAAACAGGTTCTCAAACACCACACAGAATGCCATACACATAAACTGTTTGGACAGCTGTTAACGCTTTTGGGACAGGTATCAAGAGAAAGGAGTGACCCGAGTCCTTTCTGCATCACTGTCGCATGTGATGAAACGCAGATCAACTACAAACAAATGAAGAGTAAACAACTGAGTACAAAAAAGGAACATCTGACATCTCCCATCAAAAAACAAATTCAAACCTCAGTCAACAGGACAGAACACGTTACACTTTTCTGGTATTCTTAGGAGTAATCCTTGAGCATAATCAGTAATGTAGTGTAACTATTAAGAGTGCACTTTATAGTAAGATTCTGTGACCATGGCGCTCTGCTGCTACATGACAACGCCCATTCTCACGCTGCTGGCCAAAACATCTGAACACTCCAGCAGACGCATTGTGAAGACACACAACATCCACCATACAGCCCTGACCATGCCTACTATTTGTTAAACCCCTCAAAGATGATCGAAAAACTGCTTCAAGTGAGCTGCACTGTAGTGGGACTACAACGAAAAATTATGCGCTTGTTGGGTTCTGCACTGTTTTGTTAATGCACAATATTCTTATAAAATTTCATTCTCACATATTAAAATTGGTCCACTAGTTTTGAAGAGTGCGTGAAAATTTAACAATTTTTACTTTAAACCATGTAGAGCCATAGTTTATCTTCATATTAACAAAAATTAATTATCTGAAATTAATAAATATATGTCTGTGTATGTATCCTGATTTTCAGTTCAAAATGAGAATCAAAAATATACAGTGTACCATCCTACAAATCTGAATCCATCTGTCACTTCCGAATGACCAGCTACCAACTGCCTACCTTTGGTCAATTAATTCTAATACCAAATGCTATTAGGTTGCTATTTATCTTCAAATTAATATGGCTGCAATGAAGTCAAATAGTGTGTTAAGTAGTAGGCACAAGTTAACGTAGATTAGGCTGCAATAGTGTTGAACAGCTTGTTAAGTAGTTGTTAACGCTGTGAATGAGTAAGTTTCATAAGCGAGTATCCTGTTGTAATGTTGGTATGTGTTTGTAAATGAGTGATGTGGAAACAGTGTTGAATAATATGTTAAATAGTGGTAATCGCTGTACGGGGATAAGGATGCAACAGTTCCGAATAGTGAGTTAAGGTTGTGACTGGTTAATGTTAGACATGCTGCCAAAGAACATGATTTTTGTGAGATATGAGGTTATAATGGCGAGTGTGAAGATCGCTGTCCTCTGGGATGCTGTATCATGTAGCCTGATAATATTCCAGAGGAGTTTACTGTCTCCTTCTTCTCAATGTGATTTTTGTATGAATCGTACGGGAAGTGTGAAGCAAAGCAGCGGACCCCGCAACCATACGGGACAAACGCTAAAGAAGAAATATGGGAAGTGTCATTGTGCTAGAACGTGTTGGAGGAAATTTTGCATAAATTCCTGAGGGTCGTAATATGACACACAACAGGTATTTATAGGCAGGTCTACCAGAACACTTCTGGAAAGTGAAATTGAAATGTTGGTTCAACCTTACACTTCTATTCAAATACCTTAAGTTAAGGAAAAATAATAAATTAAAATATAAGGAAATGACTTCCATGTCTGCTATAAAACTTAATTTTAACTGTTAATCCCAGCTTAAGCAAGAGTTACTTACTCAACTTAGTAATACATGCAGTGTTCACTTTGTACCGTAACAGCGTGATAAATATATCTATATCACATAGGCCAAAGTATAGAACTATACCGGCTCTTCTTTAAAAATATCAAATTTTCATGTCATCAAAGAGAGAGCTACACACAACTTAATGTGACATAAACAAATGTCATAAAAAATTTGGCAATCAATAGCTTCTCAGTATACTCTCGTGTATCATCCTGCATCAAAGATTTGTTTCAATTTATATTTGTACTGCAACATTATAACGTAAGCAGTACAAATCCTGTAACACTCAGTGCAGTGGAAACCACACACATAAAATTATCAGTTATTGTCCTACTCAAAATGTTAACAAAAGAAACAATATATATTATATTTAAAATTATATTTGTGTATTAGAATGTTTCTTTATGGCCCTTTTATGTATAATTGGCAACTATTCTCTTACATACAGCAAGCAAAATGCAGTTACAATTAGCAATACCATGTATTCATGTTCATCATAACCTATTATAACTCATAAACAAACAGGTCACATATAGACTTTGCCATGGACTAAGCCCTTCTGAATGTACTTAAGCATAATTACTAAGCCCATTCAAAATAATCACTAGAATTAATTTATATTAATTAAAGACTACACAATACTGCAATATATTTTATGTACTTAATATTAATTATATTAAGCAAGACAGAAATATCAAGGACAAATACATTATGACCTTCCTCCATGAGTTGACTCTGTATGTCTGTGAGACCTTGAACCACTAAGTATACCCCAAGTCAATTCAACTTAATTCACTTACACTGAACTTGTCGTAATATTACACCTTTAATGGAAGCATTACAAACGTTCTGATCTCGTCTGTTTTAAATCAGAATAAACTGGCTACATACATCTATTATTATAAATCTATGTTAAGTATACTGAATGGAAGAACTAGTTGAAAAGTTTAAAATACTGCAACAATAGATGAAATTCATCCTTTAGACACTGATCATATGCAAATGAAATAGTTTCACACATTCTTAGGATGTTCCTTAGTGTTCTCTGGTGGTGTTGTTGGCTTTGGATTGAGAGTTTCCATTTCTATTTGATCATCTGAGGTTGTGCCTGGCAGGTAACCATTACTTCCAGTTCGATGAGTTTCCTCAAATGAACAGTGCCTTCTCACTAGTTCCTCAAAATCAGGATAAATCCCTCGCAACACAAAAACAATACCAAACACATTTTTCATAAGAAAGATGGAAGCATTATTTCCATAGGAAACCCAAAGATAAAGACGGACTACAAGATATGGAATGTCAATCAGACATAAATGAAGAAGATTGTATACAATTTTCAATGGCAAAGACAACCGTTCAGATATGAGATCAGACAAACTAAGTTTGTAAACTGCGAGTGTTGGAAGAATGAAGTTGAATGAGCAAAGAATAAGTACTATATTTTCCAATGTGAATGTCAGGACCATTTTAGTTTCATTCACTAGTAATAATGCCAGAAGATTCACAGTGTCTAGAATTTCAATTCCTGTTTTGGCACACAGTGATGTTACGTAAGTGTAACGAGGACTGTCACGTGGTGCCCAATTGTGACCTTCCACTAGCAAAAGGAAAATGACCCCAGATGTTGCAATTGTTACTTGAAGCAGCTGTGGACCAAACACCTCATGATTAATCAATTTATCTGGAATTTCAGATTTGAATATCATCATTACTTTAGACAGAAGAATCCCTGTATAAAATAACCATGAAACATAACTTAGGGGTAATACTCCAAGTTTTGATGTGGGAAATTTGCTTCCAAACACCTGTTTTGGTGAATATCTATATACTCTGTCTTGAATGGAAACATCTTCACTTGCTGTTAAGTACTGATACGCAATTGTCAGTGTGCCAAGGAATGCAAACAAACAGGCAAAATCAGCAAGAAACCAAAAATATGGGAACACTGTGTTGCTGTATTGCCTGACGAGATAATAATTTAGGATAGTACCCTGCACAACTAGCAATAATGTCATGAATGTGGCATCCATAACATGAAGAACCATTTTCTTTGGCAAACAACACCATACAGGATTGGAGTCTGTCTCGGAAGCCATTACTGATTCTGCTTGCATAAATTCTGGAACACTTGTTACCTGCACATAATAAATCTTGCAGTCGTCAAACAGCTTCATTGTATCAATACAAACTATAATATAACATAACAATCACAGAAAATCTCATTTACTTACCTACTTGCTTGCATTATCACTTTCCAAGTATTAAAATATCGTAAATTAATACATTTCCACCATACACTACGACTTTTACAATAAACTACAAGATACTAGAATATACAAGCATCACGGTATAAAAATTCTAAATAATTCGATACATCGAGATTATTCATCCTCGATATTTGCTACTTCCAATGTAACTGACATTGTTATTGCATTATACCACTGAATCTTAAATCTGGTCTGCGCTTTTCGAAGAATGCAAGTAAATCAGAAACATTCCCCATTCCAGAAAAAAAAATACAAAGACAAGTGTGATACACGCAGTCCTGACTCTTCTAGGTACATAGTACCTAAAACACACTAATGGTCTTCACTAACAGCTTGAGAAGTGGCTGGGTAATATATACGACCTACCCCATTTCGTTTCAAAAAGATAGATCGACTATTCCCACAGTAAACAAAGTCCCTACATTTTATGACATCTGTGGTTTACATTAACAGCTGTCGAAAACATTCTTCCGGTTCCAGTAAGCAAGAAAATAGTCCAAGTAGAGCTTATAGTTTTAAGCATAACGTTTCGTTATATTTAAATGACAGATATGTTGAAGTATTAACGTTTCGTTATTTTTAAATGACAGATATGTTGAAGTATTACGGTATCAGAGACAAGGAATTATCTTTATGTATACTGGTTGTTTCATCAGATATCTTTTGTGAAAGGCTATCTGATGCTTTATACAGTTGCAGTAAGAAGCAAGGCATATATAAACTGGTAACATATGTGTCTAAACGAGTGCAAGATGTTTTAAATGTGAATTCATACTCTCATGTTGACTTTGTTGTATTTGGAATTGACACACGGAACAGATATTGTGTTAAAGAGGTGGAAGAGGATATTATGTTAATGAGTACTGCTTTCACTTTGGGGCGTATGTGCTTTGTCCATGATAATAGCATTAAGCCATTTGAGATGGCTGTGAACTTCAACCGTATACGGGATCTTCAACGTAAATACGGAGGTTACGTATTAGCAGGGAGTGTGGCAAATGAAGCCAAATGCTCCTATCTTGCAGAGCGTATTTTGAAACTGCTGTCAACAGTTACTGGTGTATATTCAGGTATACCATACATAGGATGTCCAGGGAAGAAAGTTGAACAATAAATTAATCCAGAAGTATATACACTGATGCCATATAAATAATCTATTCAATGTTTAACTAATTCTCATACATTGTACCTACATCTGTGAATGTATCTAACCACTAAACAGCATTGGACTCATGGAATTTTGTATAAGCAAGCGGATGGTCATAGTCAGAGAAGGATCGTTATATCCACCAGTTATTTTTATCATTATTTTGAACATCTGATATCTGAGAAAATGTTAACAAAGGTTGAAAAATATGTGGACTACCCTGAGATATATATTTTGTACATGCACCTTCTTTAATGTGGTACCATTCTTGAGAACACAGAATAAGAGAAGGCATCACTCCAGTATCAGTCGTATTAAATTTCAGAATATACAAATCAAGATCATTTTTCAAGTAATGAGGCATAACAATCAACACTTATATCTTTTATATGTTTTTTGCTTAACCAAAATATATTTTTGATGCTGCTTGTTAAACATTCTTGGTCAACACATATCAATTTTTCCTGCCGTATACTGTACAAAGTAATTTCCTTTCTTCAACTTTATGTGAAGTTCAGGGAATTCAGAAAAGGATAAAATCTCATACATTTTATACGCCAAGAGAACTTAAGTTAAATAACATGAACTTAGACAAATTGTGTTGGTCGGCTTCTGCGAGTGTATCAGCAGAAACATACCAGAATACTAGATGAATAACCTCTAATAAATAACAGAAAATTATATACAGTTGAGCAATAATGTTGAGGGCCTGTCTACCTACTTCTGTTTAGACAGTCAGCCTTCTAGATGACTTAGATTAAGTGAGCAATGATAACAAGGTGCCACTTAAAGCACAGAGAGTAATATTTCAGCACCAAATATCTAACCCTTTTAGGTCTTCATCAATCTCAGTATGATAATCTTAAAGTTTAAAATACTGTATTTATCTTACTTTCATGATTTAAATAAGACTATAAATAAACTTAAACAGAGTTCAAATTTGACCCGGAATTGTCACTGTTTCTCATAAACCTCGATGTGAATGTGTCATTTCTGAACATAATTTCTTAGGATAAGACAGCTTTATATAAAATAGATGATTCATGTACAATGCAGTGATCAAAATTCCAGATGAAATATGAAATTCCCTCATAAAAGAAGCCCTTTCTCAGATTTTGTGCTACATTTGAGAAATCAAGTTCCTGTCTGATAATTTTAAAATTAAAAATATACTGAGCCTAGTGGAGCATCAAAATGTATGTGGATTATGAATGGTTGAATTTCATGAAGCATATAACTTAGCTTTTACCCCTGAAAATGACTTGCATTGTTTACTCAAATAGAAAAAAAGCAACATTTGATGTGGCTTATCCCTGAAAGCTGAAGTTTTACATTAAACACCAGCAGCAAAAATCTAATGACAATAATTAAGCATATATATCTAATCAAGATTGTCTTACAATGCCAAAGCTGAGGCGAAGCTGCTCATAGAACACAAATGTTAGTACTGTGTGTGGTGCAAGACGAGTGAACCGTAGTATGTACCCCTGAAAGAAAGAAAACAAGAATTTTTCTTAGAACAGTCATTTACGTTTATCTGAAGATGTAATTTAAATATTGAAGTTGCTGGTCTTTAGTGTAAATTTCCAAAATATCAGAATATCAAGAATACTCCTAAATTATCAAGTAATAATTTTAATACCAAATACAATTAGAACACAGAAGTTGGTAATATGTTAACATTGACCGTGCAAAAATAGTCTTTTACACACATCTGCAAATGCATGAAAGATTTATGACATTATCAAGCAAACTACCTAATGCTCTGACAGATGGACAGAACAGGTTAACTTGAAGATGGCCGTCTTCGGCGATGTAGCACTGTGTAGTCTGGTAGATACTGACTGATGTTTCAGAGGAGCTTATTGTCTCCTTCATCACAGACAGAACCTCAAATCTCAACAGGATTAAGTTGTTTAATTGTGTGATCAATGTAACATTTTATTAAAACTATTTTCAGTGTCAGTTCCTTTTCCTGCATTTTTATTACCTTGAAAAATCCAGCAGGGCCCAGTTTTGCTGTGTATGTAATTATATGCCACATATTCTGAAACATACACAAACCACGGGTACAGTTCAAGGTGACATCAGTTGTTTTATTGAGTTTTCAAATTTCTCATGGACA